TAGCCGATTGTCCGAATTAACCGATTTAGGGGTTAATATTGCATTATACGGTATTGCAAAGTCATTGTTTTCGTCACGATTTTATCCCACTTTCCACTGTAATACGTACGTAATTTCAGCAAAAATATTACATTTCCGTGAATGCATTATATCAAGCACAGTATGAATAGAATATCATTGTAATATAACAGTATTTTAACCGAAAACTACTAAAAAAACGAATAACATCTCAAGAACATCAGAAGCTTAGGTAAAGTCTTTTGTTTTCGTCATGTATTTTATCCTATTTTACATTGAAATACATCACGTTTCAGGAAAACTACTATTTATTTCCAAGAATATATTCATTCAGGCGCAGTTTAGGTAAAATATACATGTGATGTAACAGTTTTTTAACTGAAAGCGATTCGAAAAACACGTACCCTCTAGCCCTGTTCAAGGAGAGGACTGGGAGAAGCTGTTTGGTGCTGCAGACGATGACAAGGAAAATGATTTGGATGAATTTTAATGAAAATATTCAGAAATATGGTATCGTAGTAATTATTCAAGTCAATTAGGATAGGATATTAATGTAATTCAACAGTTTTTTAACTGAAAACCAATCGAAAAGCGATTACGGTAACATCTTTTGAACGAAAGAAAGCGAAATTCATTGTTTTCGTCACGATTTTATCCCACTTTTCACTAATACCTACGTCATTTCAGCAAAAATATTACATTTCCGTGAATGTATTATATCAAGCACAGTATGAGTAGAATACCATTGTAATGTAACAGTATTTTAACCAAAAACTATTAAAAAAACGAGTAACTTCTCTAGAACATCGGAAGGTTAGGTAAAGTCTTTTGTTTTCGTCATGTATTTTATCCTATTTTACATTAAAATACATCACGTTTCAGCAAAACTACTATTTATTTCCGAGAATATATTCATTCAGGCGCAGTTAAGGTAAAATATACATGTGATGTAACAGTTTTTTAACTGAAAACGATTCGAAAAACACGTGTACCGTCTAGCTGACACTCAACAGCTGGTGGTGCGTCATGCGTCGTTGTAAACAATAGGAGGTTGAAGTAGATTACCGGGTATTATATTAAGTGTGAAATATCGAAAAGGTTTTTATTACCGGTATTTTTTGTAGATCAATGAGAACTGTGATACCGTATATGATATGATTCGTTAGCCTGTGCTAAGAACTTCAACATAGACTACTGAAAACACGTTGTAAGGTAATTTAGCCTATTGTAAGTTGGTGAGCTTCATTTGCTGAAGGAACTGCACAACTTTTCATTACTAATTGGTACAAATTTTACGTTTCCATTGTTTACTGGCAGTAAATGGTAAATATTTTTCATGTCTGAAGCTAAAAGTTGCATCCCCCCCCCACACTAGTGGTGGAGATGTTACATTTGACCAAAAAGACGCTGGTGTTTTATCCCAGCAGTGGGTGGACCAGCATTTTAGCTTAAGGTCCGCGTAGGTAATATTCCTACAAATCTTAAAAAAAAAAAAAAAAAAAATAAGTTCGTTCAGATTTTGTCCGAATTATCCGAAATCCGGATTAAAGGGGTCCGAATTAACGAGGATCGACTGTATTCATTCAGGTGCAGTTTAGGTAAAATATACGTGTGATGTACAGTTTTTTAACTGAAAACGATTCAAAAAACACGTACCCTCTAGCCCTGTTCAAGGAGAAGACTGGGAGGAGCTGTTTGGTGCTGAAGACGATGACAAGGAAAATGATTTTGATGGATTTTAATGAAAATATTCAGAAATATGGTATTGTAGTATTTATTCAAGTGAATTAGGATAGAATATTATTGTAATACAACAGTAGTGACGATGTGGAGGAGGCGGAGGGATGGAGTGGGGAGGAGTGGTGACGCTGGAGGCGGGAGCAGGGACGAGTGGAGATGCCAGCCAGTACATTATGGGTGTACAGTATTAATTGTTTTTATAGCTCTTTTTGCATTTTAATATTAAATACTGTGCATTACGTTTCAACAAAACTACTATTTATTTCTGAGAATATGGAAATGTAATATTTTTGCTGAAATGATGTACGTAATATAGTGGAAAGTGGGATAAAATTATGACTAAAGCAATGACTTTCACTTTCTTTCATTCAAAAGATGTTACCGTAATCGCTTTTCGAATGGTTTTCAGTTGTAGGATTATGAGGCTAATGATAGGATAGAATATTATTGTAATACAGTACGAGTACAACAGTTATTTAACTGAAAACCATTTGAAAAGCGGTTACAGGAAAATCTTTTGAACAACAAAAGAAAGCGAAAGTCATTGTTTTCGTCATGATTTTATCCCACTTTCCACTGTACAGTAATATGTACGTCATTTCAGCCAAAATATTACATTTCCATATTTATTTCTGAGAATATATTCATTCAGTCACAGTTAAGGTAAAATATGCTTGTGATGTAATATTCTAATGAAAATACGGTATCGTAGTTTTCTTTTGTTTCAAATTTAATTAACAAAGATTGATGTTTCAAATGTAATGAAAAAAAATTTATGTACAGTATCTATAAATAAACTTTAAAAAATGAATACTTTGTTTTACATCGTCCTGTGCTACCATACCATGCATTTGACTACTTTGGGCGTGCTATGATGACGCAAGAGATCTGCCCTGGCAACTGTACCGACACTCACAGCTGGTGGTGCGTTGGTGCGTCGTTTCCATTGTTTACAGGTAGTTACTGGTAAATATTTTTCAACCTAACGAAACTATTACCCGTTTAGAGGTCGACCCTTATTTTTTTGTCAAATAATTTGGTCTTAAAAACTCGAACTACACACAGGTATATACGGTAAATAAGGACATGGGGGGCCAGGGTTTTTTTAGGGGGGGCAGCAAAAGTACATGGATTTTTAACATTCACGGGTATCTCTGTTACCTAACCGCCGCGTATGTTGAGGGCCGACTGTATATTTACTTATCTGTCATGTAGAGGAGTTTTGAGTTTTTCTCTTATAAAATCTCAATGAATGTGACTTTATAGTAATGCATACAAGCACCTCACCAGGCATCACACAAGGAGTTTTTAATTTCTGTATATGTAATGTATTTCATGGATCAAAGGGAGGCAGGGGAACTTAACTCCCGTATTTTATCGATTTCTTATGGGGAAAATTGATCCGCTTAACGTTGTTTTGTATAACGTCGCATTTTCAGGAACGTAACCCCGGCGTTAAGTGAGGACTTACTGTATTTTTTATGGGGGAAATTTATTCCGTTAATATCTTTTCCGTTAACGTCGCCGTTTTCAGTAACGGAACTACGCCGTTAAGCGAGGACTTACTGTATATGCATTGTTAGAAAAATATAAATGAAATAAGAAAGCAAGAATACTTTAGTATATACCTGTACTGTGCATGCATAAAAGGCAATATATGAAGCATGGTAAAATGAACCAAAAATGACAACTTTACTGATGGCAATGAATACAAATTGTTACAGAAAACATTGATTTGTGGATAACACACAGAACACAAACCATGATTATTGAAAAAACAAAAAAAAATTTAATATGAATAAATGTAGAATCTTGCATACCAGTATGTTGCAATATAATCCTCAAATCCTGGGATCTAGTTCATAGATTGTTGATACAGTACAGTGGTTACTCGGGTTGTAGCGCACCTTATGAATAGTGGAGTAAAGGTGAGTCAGCTAAGAGAGGGAAGCAGTTGTGGCTCAGTATGTGTTAAGCTTTAGTATATAGAATAATTGGAACTGGATTTTTCATAATATCTTTGATAAAATAATTCCCGTATCATTTTACAGGTACAGTATAGTGGGAGATCATGAGCTAGGTAATTGTTGGTGTCTATTATATTATTCTACTTACTGTAATTACTAGAGGTTTTAGACAAGTTTATAAAGTTCTTTTCATCATTAATGATATGTAATATAATGGAAACTATTATTAATTTAATTGTATGTCAATTGTTTGCCTTTGTACAATTTATAATATTGTACTGTGATTATCAAGGGTGAGTTTGTGTGTGGAGTGGAGGGGAAGGCAGACTGTTAAAACTTAGTGGGTATTGCTGCTTCTAATTTACATCAACTTAATATCAGTAGCAACTAAAATATTTTTTCAATATACTTGGTAAGCATAAAAGCTTGCCATGATAATCACTCAAATTATTAATGAAGACGGATGCAAACCCTCAATGACTGTCCCTGGCCGAGGCTATGTCCACATGCTGTATAACGTGATACATGCCCATTCTACATCAATTAATGTATGAGAACATTAGGTAGAGGCATGTAAAGCATCAATATTCCCAGACCATGTGTTGAGTCAAATTACGTCAAGTTGCTTTAAAATATTTTGCTCCCAGACAACTCAGAACACCTTAAATGCTAAAACTGCTTCAAACATTCGTCACTTCCCCCACTCCAGTTCTGGAGTGCACGAATAAACTTAGACAAAATGCTTGGGGGAAAATATACCAACAGCCTGAGTCAACATACTCCCTTTAGCAAAGCCTGGAAAGATATAAACACAATCAGAGGTAAAAACAGTAGACACGTCTCCCATCCAAACCTGCTGCCAAACCAAAAAGTGAATGAGCTAATAACAAATTGGGCTCATGTCTTTAGCTATAACATGTTACCAACTAGGAATAAAGAACACCTGACCATTTTTGGATAAATAGATTTCTACTGTAGGTATAACATTTACTGTAATAGATTTGATCTTATTGTTATGGAACTGATATTAGGTATTCTGTACTGTAATTATTTTCAGATAAAGCAAGTGTTTGGCCCTGGGTATTTTTGGTGTATTTTTAAATTTTAGATTCCAATCACAACTTTGGGCTATGACGGTTTGGGATTCAACCTCCTAGTCTTGCTGGATATAGCTACAGACTTCCTCAATCCTGCCTCATTTTTAACACAGGATTTTAGGATTACTCCAACGTAGTTTCCATTATTATGCCTCTTAATGTGTATATATCTTTATAGACATATACGTGATTGCCACTGTGCAAAGGAAGGTGGAAGTTTTGTGTGTAGATATGGCTACAACGGAGTCTGCTCATCATTACCACTTGAGGGAGTGAGCGATCAGGATTATGAAGACCACGTACTGAAACACCATGCATTCACTATGCTTAACAAGGGTAAGGACCACATGCTAAAACACCATGTTTTCACCATGCTTAGCAAGGGTAAAGGCCAATGCAGTATGTTAGTAAAGTGAGAAGCTGTCCTTCATATTGCATAATAATTATTCATTTATAGCAATTTATGGTTGTAACAGTGAGTCACATTCCCTCTGTGATTTTCTTGTCCATTGGCTTAGTCATGACAGATTCATTTTATAACTTAGAAAAATTACTGAGATAGATCAAACAAGATTCGTTGTCATTTCTATTCACTAAGTTATCTCGACTGTGATATTTGAAAGGGTAGGATTTAACCTTTAAAATATGGGAACATTTTACATAGAATATCAATTTTGCTCTGATGGGGATATTTTTTTTTTAATGGGTAAAATTATGAAGTTTCCTCATGAAAAGGACAAGTGTAATCAAATTTCATGTATTCTTAACGAGAGCTGTGAACAATGGGAGGGAAGATAATATGACCAGGTGGGGGGGGAGGCACTGTTGCATGGGCCAGCTTTGGACCTGTTTTTAATATTGATTCATTATTATATTTTTGTAACATCTTCAATAATAAAACAATACAATATATTATACAGGTAATTTGTAATTTAACATTAGAATAAAAAGATAAGTTGTATTAGAAGGTGTCACTTTTTTACCCCCCTCATCCCTTCTCTTCCCTCTGCACTGTTTCAGGTTAATGAAAATTTTTAAGTAAAATAGAAACCATTTATAATGATGAAATAAAATACCGTACTATAAAACATGGTATCAAGTAAAAATAATTATGGTCCAGTACATATTTTTGTGTTTTCATTTATTAATAATGTAAACGAGTTGATAGGTCTGAGGAATGTTATTTGAATCATGACAACACTGTTAGTACTTGCTTCTGTCTATGTACTTTCCAAACACAGTTAATCATAAAGAACAGATTTATAGCCATGAGGCATCAACATGGTAAGGGCAAAAACCACATTAAGCTCCTGTGAATAGTACAATACTGTACAGATCACAAAGGAATTAGTAATAACTTTAGTCCTCAAATCTTAAGATGGGTAGTCTTGGGAATTAAAACATAAAATTTTCAGATTAGAGAATAATTATGTAGAATTAAGTTAAAAAAATAATAAAAATTATATTTCATATGTTTTGTTGGTCTTTCAGGTAGCTCAGGAGTAATATCCAAAGCACAGACAAGGGCTAGAGAAGAAAAATGGGGCGTCTTCTCTTCAACTCAGAATGTTCCATCAGTTCTTAATGACCCTAGGAAGGGGATAAGGGTATGACCAGTTTAAGAATACCTAATGGTATAATAAGCTCATAACAGTTATAGTGTAATCTCTCTATACTTGTAATAACATAATTTTGCTGCACTTTTCTTGGTTGTTTATATGAGTAAGAAGAACCTGTGATATACAGTACAAACAGATATGTCTAACTTAAATTTGTCTTGATAGGGAAATTATCAAGAAAACATGAGTTTATGTTCCAAACCTGGTAATACAGTATGCCTTCTTGATCTGTACAGTATAGTCTCAATTTACGCGGATTTCCTTTACACGTATGGTCATTTACGAGGCACCTGGCCAGACCGGCAATTATTAGTTACGCGCAGTGGTGGGCACAGCTAAACAAAATGTTAGCTTCGCTAACCGCCATATGCTAACTAAAAAGTTAACTTCGCTAACACTAAACCACTAAACGGCTAAAAAAATTAGCGGAAGCTAATGCTAACTGCTAACTTATATTATAGGAATTTAGCTTCTGGGGTTTTTTTTGGCTCTAAAACCCTTAAAAACAGACCTGGAGAGCTGAAATTTTCATATGTTGTCTTGTAGCTTAGACATAGAGCTTTCCAAAAAGGTATAGCATGCCAAGATCAGATGATGATCAAGGTGTACACAAATAATTAAATGAACAAATAAAATTAAACATTAGTTTACATTCAAGTTTCAACATACACTTAATAATCTTTATTTACTGTACGAAAAGAGAGAAAGATTAAACGAATCCAAAAACTATAGTACTGTATAGCAAAAGGTAGCAAATAGTATCATGCCAAGATCAGATGATGATCAACTTATCAAGGTGTACACTGTACACAATTTCACAAATAATTAATTTGCATTCTCATACAACCTATCGGCCTGAACTTTAATGAAAAGTAAGTTTTTAGAAAATTTTATTTGGTGCACACCTTGGATGACATCCTGGTTATGAACTTATGCAGTACTTAGCATAACCAAATATATTGACACAAAAAAATTCTAATTAGATTAACAAATAAATGAGAAATGAAATTGTACATTGGTTTACAATTACATATGATTGTTTCAACATACACTGACAATCTTTATTTACTGTAAAAATAGTATTAAACTTTAATAATCGAAAAATTCCATTCGCTCAGCTGCTGCAGCGCGGCGTCGACAAATCATGTCTTGTCACGTTTACACGTACTAACACACAGTCAGCCAAGCGTGCCTGACTGGCTGTTGGAGACACGCGTCACGGCGTCACACGCTTACAACAGACAGGAACAAACATGTATAAATTTTGTTAGCGGACTTAAAGTTAGCGGAATTCAATTTAGCAGAAGCTAATTGGTCTGTTAATGGTTTCCAAAGTTAGCGAAAACGCTAATCCGCTAACGAGAAAGTTAGCTTCGCTAATTAGCGGTTAGCGGAACCGTGCCCACCACTGGTTATGCGGTACATTCCATCATTTACGCGGGAAGCAGTGCGGGCATGGTGCGCACAAGGTCGCCCAGTCAACAAAACATTACCGAGTTCTTCACCCGCCACCCACCACAGCCAGCCCAAGTCAGTGATAGTGATAGTGAGGATATGGACTTTGAGGGGTTTGACAAAGAGGCCCTGCAAGCCTCTGTGGTGGATATCGATACAGGTGATACAAGTGATTCAGGTGAGGGCCAATAATCTGCCCTCTGCCTCGGAACCAACCCCCCATCCCCGTGTGCCCAGCCATCTCTTCTACTAACGTAAATGTTAAAAAACCTAATATTATTGATATTTCTCTTAAATATTAATTGTGTGTGTATACCATCATAAAATTAAGATGTTATTTTTACTACAACGTACGTATTGTGTCGGAAAAAGGGTAGTCTGGCGGTCGGCCCAGTCTCTATTTCAATTAATCCCATATGTTCTGTTGTTTCGTTTACGCGTTTCTCGTTTTACGCGGACCTCCATGGGTTTAATTGACCGCGTAAACCGAGATTATACTGTATAAAGAAAACAGTTTTAAAGAATGATGAGGGCTTGCTGTTTTTGAAAGACTTCAGGAGACCACATGTATATATATTTTCAGCGTGATTTTTTCACTAAAACCTGGGGTGAGAGTTTTGTGGAGGTTAAAGAAATTCCTGCTCATGTGGCACTCCCTCAAGTCACCATCAAGCATGTGGAGTCGTATGTTAGGCGACTTCGCAAGAGACAAAAACTCCTCTCTAGGTTAGCCTCCATGCAGGCTGGCAAAGCACAAGAGGCTGCAGAAGAGTCATCATTAGAACCCAGTCCAAGAGGTAAGGTTTTTATTTTTAGTTTTTAGTTTCATATTTGTATCTAATGGTCTTTGTTGAATTTTGCAGATTATGCTTTTCAACTTTTTTTTTTTTTTGATCAATGGTACATGTTTTAAAAAGAATGCTCAGTCCTCAGTGCAATTTTGCCCTGGACTTTGTTTTGATAAGTTTTGAAAAATAATTGTTTGTTGTATGAAGGGAGTCTTGGGAGGCTCAGACTAATAGTTACTAGTGTGGTCTGAGATTCTATTATTACAGTCCAGTATTGGAATTGATGCAAGATTCAGTAAGTTGTAAACATCTGTCTCCTCAAAAAAATTTAAAGAATGGGCAGCTGCAAAGGAGCACCTACACAGTAATTAAGTTCTTGTTCTCATTTCCCTAAAACCAAGAATTTTCGATATAATGATTGTCGTGCAATTTATGTATAAAATCAATACAGTAGAACGTCGATATAATGCGAGATACATTCCAAGAGAGGTTGCTTTAAACCGAATTTGCACTAAATCAAAGTGTTGGTTCAATGGAATAATTTAGTTTGGTACTTGAGAGAAACACAAAATACTGTACTGAAAAGACCAACGCCCGTACAGGCAGTTCTGCTATAACGCGATAATTGTGTTCTTGTAAAATATCGTGTTATAGAAAATCGCGTAATAGAAATAACAGGGCTTATGGAGAAAATAGGGTTAGGTGCAGATTACTCGAAATCGAAAAAATTTAGGAGTTAGCCTAACACAAAGGATAGCACAGTCTAAATAAATGTTACATTCATATCTAATAATGAAATCATACAGTAAATGTAACACTTTACTTGATGGGGGAGAAGGGTGATTTTGAGGTTGATAAAATCGAGCTTCTCTTCAAGTGTTATATCCTTTCTTTTACGATCATCACCGGGAATTCTATCACCAGAACACTTCTTGTTGATATTCTTCTTTACTATATTCACAGTTAATACTGTTTACCACAAAATTGGAGAAATAGTAAGCAAAAATCGCGTTATAGCAAACAAGCGTTCGCGTTATACAAATATCGTTCCTAATTCATAAATCGCGTTAGAGCAAATTCGCGTTATCAAAACACGCGTTATAGCAGAACTCACTGTATTATTAAACAACATCGTCCCTTGAAGAGGGTCGTCGTGTTTCAACCCGAGTTTTAAATAAAATGAGTCCTGAAGGACACCGCAGTACAGTACTTAACGGGGAGGTGTGGTGTAAAATGAACTAATTCCAATATTATAAATTAATTTTATTGGAATTAGTTAATTTTACCGCCACACCACCCCGTTAAGTACTGTACTGCGGTGTCCTTCAGGACTCATTTTATTTAAAACTCGGGTTGAAACACGACGACCCTCTTCAAGGGACGATGTTGTTTAATAATACGGGCGCGAGAGTCTACCCAGATGCACCTCAGCCCATCTCCTAGAATATACAAAACATTGTTTTTTGTTATTATGTTAAAACAAACACTCATAAATCAACACAGCTAAAATTATGGGACGTGAAATGGTCTGTTTACTAGCGATCAGCTGATGGGAAGATTGGGGGGGGGGGTGAGGTGACATGTTTGACATTTGATGCCAAGGTCTAGTGCTTATTTCTTTATCTGTCCTTAAGAGTGACTTTAAGTTTTTCTCTTATAAAATGTTACTAAACTGACCTGGGAGAATATAATTTACATTGCTGGAATTCTTATAAGATAGTGATTAATTTGAATATAATCATGCTATAATTTTCACTCGACAAAAATTTTAGTAATCATTTCGTACTTTATTTTGACTACATGTACAGTACAGCTTTGCCCTAAGGACAGTGTAGCGTGCCCAGGGAAACATTAGGAGCGAATTTTAATATGTGATGCACCAGACTGACTCGCGTAAAATAGGAAAGTTTTGCTTTAAATTAAAACATTGTCATTAATTTTGAGTGTCGCTTTAAATCAATAATCTTAAATTGAACTGCTTTAAATCGACATTCTACTGTAGTACTTCATTTCACAGTATCTGACCAGTTATCCCAAGAGGGTGTTCCGGCCATCTTCCTCTCCAGTTCTTTCAACTTAGAAAATCCAGACACTTTCTACTCTGTGTTCTCTCATGTAACTTCTGCTGGGGTCTCTCTGAAGAATGCTAAAATTCTCCAAGAAAGGGTACGAGTTATTTGTTCCAGATTTACACTCCAAGTTTGAATACCATTTGTTATAAATGTTATAAAGGTGTTTGACAGATTTATGATTGTGCATTTAGATTATATGATCTTTTATTTATTTGTTTATATAGTACGAATATATTGTTCCAGAGTGGTATTTTAAGGTTGGTATTCTGTGGTGAGGTGAGCTAAGATTTTTTTTATTTCCCTTTCAGCTATTTCATTATCTAGAAACAGTTGAGGTGGATATGAGTAGACAAATAGCAAGAAAATCCTCAGCTTTTTTTGATACTATGACATACCTCAATGCTCAAATGGAGCAGCTCAAGTTAAACCATGAAGCAGTTTCCACCCTTAGGTAAGACTTATCTTATTTATGTCATGTCATAAGAGAGAACAAATGACTGGCCACCTGCATCAGTAGCAGGAAGGGGGTAACAAGAATGAAGAAGAAATTGAACTCTGTATCTTTACTAGTAACTGACATTTAAACAGACCATATCTAACTATGCAGTAAAGAGTTTTGTAGAGATGAACTGGATCTGCTATGAGTCTTGAAACCAAAGTCAAGAATGAACAGATGTAGTGTATCTGGTTCTGCATACACCTTAATTCTCAAACCTTCTCCATATTTAGAGTTAAATTCTTACCAAGTGGATATCTTTTGGGATCCTGGTTTGTTGTAAAGAGTAATTTAATTGTCACATAAATCTGAATTCTAGATCAGATTCACCTTTAGATTTCAGAATTGCCCCACACAGTGCATAAGGTAGTTTATTGGGCACCCCCACAAGTTAGGGCCAGGAGCCTGGGGGTTATGACCTCTAGACTTGTTGACTAAACAAAATTGTTCAGTCCTGATATTGTTTTAAAATGGGATATCTAAATCAGTGCTCCATTTTGTGATCTTTACCTTTCCCCTTGAAAACAGTTGGAGATTATTAGTTTGTGTAGTGAGTCCACTGTTGTGCTACTGCAGCTAAGAATATTTTTGGAATATGGTGTCAGTGGGTGTTAGATGACTAGGCTTTCTTGGGGATTAATTTTCTAGGGGTTGAGCCTTTCATGGGATTGTTTGTTATGGCTGGTACCGGTAATTGCAAACTACAGATACTCCCTGAGTTACGGATGACTTGGGTTACGGATTACCCATAAGTCCTATTTAAAATGAGCGCCAGGTAATTCCCAGGCAGAACGGGAATATTTCCATCCATATCTCATCTGTGAGCTGTATGTTATGTTATGGATATTTTTTAACTTGCATTTTCAGGTAGATATACAGTATTGTATCTTGTTATTTTGTTTTGTTTTTACTCAGTTTCATACACACACACACACAGTCCTACATGAGAAAATGCAAACAATTAATAGAATAAATAATTATTATAAGGTATAAAGGTTTATGTATCTACGGGCTTCCACCATGAAACTGTGTAGCAAGTGTTTGTGGAGGTCAGAGGGTCTGTTGCATAGTACCGTTACTGTGAATGTTACTGCATTGCTCGGCTAGCACCAGGGGCGACTTTGACACCGCTTGAACGCTAACTTGTATCATGTTTGCTCTCTGTATGCTCTCATTATTGCTATTTATATACTTTTGTTATTGATGTTTATATGCTGCAATTTTAAGTTTTAATGTTATACCGGTAGTTAAAGCTACTATTATGGCCGAATCTAGTGATCTGAATAGAGTCTTTACAGCCATTTACAGAGAGTTTACTGTAAATTTTGCGTTTAGACCTGACACTCTAAATTCTGGAACAAACCCTATGTGGCAACCCCAGGTCTCCAGCATTCTTGATAAATGGTCCCATTTGTAATCATAACTTTCTTCTTCTATTATTCTTAATTCCTCTCTCTTCATTTTCCACAGTGTCATTGGTCATCATTCTCATGCCTCTCCTTCTCTTCCTTGCACCTTTTTCTCTTTCTTCTCTACCTTTTCATTCATTTAGTTCTATCTCCTTGTAGTTCTTTTCTTTCTTCTAAATCTTTTCCTGTAGTACCTCTCATTTTTTTCTTACTTTTTTTAAATTCTGTTTTCAATTTTATTCCTCCTTTAAGGTGACTACACTAATTTTTTTCTTTACTTCCTTTCTTTTTAAACATTGCTGTAATATATCTTCATACAGTGTTTTATAATAATGTTTCCTGTGGCTCATGATCATTGTATATAACTTATTATACATACATTTACAGAAGAGGTATCACAACTTTACGTCGAGAGGCTGTTGTGGAACCAATAAAAATTCTGGCATTACCAAGAAGAAGAGACAATATCACTGCAACCTGTAAAAAGGTACAGTAGTGGCATATATAAATCTACATTAAAAAAAAAAAAGAGATACTGAAAAGGCTCTCAAATGAACCTTTTTTTTCATTGATCCTTTTCTTGTTTTCTGGTCTTCTTCAAATCTCCCTCTCTCTCATTTTTCTCTCTCCCCATTGATCCATCAGAAAGGGACATAGAAATTGCGGAAGTGTATGCATGTGTATACTGTATTGTGTTCTTGTAACATGGCAAATAGAATACAGTAATGGTCCCTCGGTTAACGAGCGCCTCGGTTAACGAGATTTCGGTTAACGAGTTACCTTCCATAAGATTCTTAACTTCGGTTAACGAGCAATCCTCGATTCTGAGCTTACGACCTGAACATGTTTAAGCTTGCATTTGGCAGGTCCACCAGCTGTAGTATTAGTCCACCAATACAGTAATCGGTTTTGGGGCTTAAATTCCTTACCATTTTAGCAAATATCAAGAAGTTTATACTATTCAATAATTTTAAAAGTTTAATATTAAATTTTTTAATCATTTAACAATTGTTGAACATAATTGAGGTAAATAAACTAGTTTATCGCACCATCCTTCTCAACACACCATACAGGCGTCAGTCTTTGTGTCTTTTCAGTGGAGGTAACATCTTGCTTGAGACTCTCTTCAACTAAATGCTTTTTTCTTTTGCAAGCAAATTATTGGTCATTTTGAAATTTATTTTATATTGACAATATAAAATGCAGTGCAGTGTTGATTTAAAGAAAATAATCTTGAATTACACCAAGAGAACTAAAATTTTATGGGTGGAAATGGCATGGGTGACTTCTTCCCACCCCAATGCCTTCTCTTCTCCCTTCTCCTCCACCCCATTCTAATTCCATCATCATCATCATCAGGAGCCTTCTACATACACACTTAAAGTAAGTGTACTTTTCTACCTTTTTTGTTGAATTTAGGCAATTTTCGGTGAGCTGGAACCAATTACCCAAAAACCATTGAAACAATGGTTTCGGTTAACGAGCAACCTTCTAGAACGGATTGTGCTTTGGTTAACCGAGGGACCACTGTATACCTTTTTACCTCTTCTGTACTGTGTTGCCCCTTAGCTGAATAAAATTGTCTGGCATTAGCCAATTAAAATATAAAAGTTGTGTCCTATAGTGAAGGGAAGGGGTTAATGGGGATAGTCTACTAACCCCTTGTGTATGGTGCAGAGTTGTAAAAAGTACTGGACATTGTTACTGAAGTAAAATTATTGTTACATTGCCAAATGTTACCTAAGTAGAAGTAAAAGTATACACAGTTCAGTGTACTCAACTAGAAGTAAAAATATATCTCTTTCATAAAGTACTATACTCAAGTACTGAAAATGAAAAGTAACACAAGATTATTAATTGTCTGTAATATTAAAATAAATCCACAGTAAATTAAAAAAAAATAGTTAACATAAAGATAAAACTAAAAAACACAGCATTACACATATTTATTGGCAAATCTTTCTATAGAGATTAATCAATACAGTAGAACGTGGATATAACACGAGATACGTTCCAAAGAGAATGCTTTAAACTGAATTCCCACTAAATCAAAGTGTTGTTTCAATGGAATAATTTAGTTTGGTACTTGAGAGAAACACAAATATAAAAAGACTGACAGTCTACTGATGCACCTCAGCCCATCTCCTAGAATAAGCAAAACATTGTTTTTGTAGTATTATGTTAAAACAAACACTCATAAATCAACACAGTTAAAATTAAGGGATGCAAAATGGTCTGTTTACTGGCTGGGAAGATGGGAGGGGAGGTGAGGTGTTATGTTTGACAGTTGATGCCAAGGTCTAGTGCTTATTGATTTATCTGTCCTAAAAGTGACTTTTAAGTTTTCTTTTTTTTTTAAAATGTTACTAAACTGACCGGGGAGAATATAATTAACATTGCTGGAATTCTATCGATAGTTATTAGTTTGAATATATATATGCTTTACAGGTTGTACCTCTCTAGTCGGCATTCTGTGGTCCGGAGCGATTTTATTTGTCCAATAGGTAGATAGGCAGCTTTTCTTTTTCTTTTTTTTTTTTTTTTTTCTTTTTTATAACTTATCTGAATTATTATTATTATTACAGGGTATTAAATTTTTGCCCCTCAGGCTAATATTGGTCGTGACCTATGCCGGGTGGAGCTAATTCCTGAAAAAAAAAAACAAAAGCTTGTGAGAGTAAGAGTTTGTTTACATCCATTGTTCGGCTGCTCTCTCTCTCTCTCTCTCTCTCTCTCTCTCTCTCTCTCTCTCTCTCTCTCTCTCTCTCTCTCTCTCTCTCTCTCTCTCTCTCTCTCTCTCTCTCTCTCTCTCTCTCTCTCTCTCTCTCTCTCTCTCTCTCTCTCTCTCTCTGTCTCTCTCTCTCTCTCTCTCTCTCTCTCTCTCTCTCTCTCTCTCTCTCTCTCTCTCTCTCTCTCTCTCTCTCTCTCTCTCTCTCTCTCTCTCTCTCTCTCTCTCTCTCTCTCTCTCTCTCTCTCTCTCTCTCTCTCTCTCTCTCTCTCTCTCTCTCTCTCTCTCTCTCTCTCTCTCTCTCTCTCTCTCTCTCTCTCTCTCTCTCTCTCTCTCTCTCTCTCTCTCTCTCTCTCTCTCTCTCTCTCTCTCTCTCTCTCTCTCTCTCTCTCTCTCTCTCTCTCTCTCTCTCTCTCTCTCTCTCTCTCTCTCTCTCTCTCTCTCTCTCTCTCTCTCTCTCTCTCTCTCTCTCTCTCTCTCTCTCTCTCTCTCTCTCTCTCTCTCTCTCTCTCTCTCTCTCTCTCTCTCTCTCTCTCTCTCTCTCTCTCTCTCTCTCTCTCTCTCTCTCTCTCTCTCTCTCTCTCTCTCTCTCTCTCTCTCTCTCTCTCTCTCTCTCTCTCTCTCTCTCTCTCTCTCTCTCTCTCTCTCTCTCTCTCTCTCTCTCTCTCTCTCTCTCTCTCTCTCTCTCTCTCTCTCTCTCTCTCTCTCTCTCTCTCTCTCTCTCTCTCTCTCTCTCTCTCTCTCTCTCTCTCTCTCTCTCTCTCTCTCTCTCTCTCTCTCTCTCTCTCTCTCTCTCTCTCTCTCTCTCTCTCTCTCTCTCTCTCTCTCTCTCTCTCTCTCTCTCTCTCTCTCTCTCTCTCTCTCTCTCTCTCTCTCTCTCTCTCTCTCTCTCTCTCTCTCTCTCTCTCTCTCTCTCTCTCTCTCTCTCTCTCTCTCTCTCTCTCTCTCTCTCTCTCTCTCTCTCTCTCTCTCTCTCTCTCTCTCTCTCTCTCTCTCTCTCTCTCTCTCTCTCTCTCTCTCTCTCTCTCATTGTCTATACAGAGGTACAACATTTAACTTCAATATATATATAGGCAGTAAATAAGTGTTGCTTTCATATTTTTATGTAGAGTAATGATGATATGTTTCACATGTCTTGCTTACATCCAGCGCAGTCTCACTTTTCTTGACCATTAATGGTTAGCTACTTCAATTGTTCCATTAAATAACATTAAATAACATTACTTAAAACAACCATATTAATTTTACTACAGCTACAACCAGGGTCTTATTTTCTTCAGTTTTATATGTAGAACCAGTCAGTCACTGGTTTTTGTAAACAACTAAAACAAAACCCGTCTAGTCTCCTCGTGTGTTTTAATATTCTGTTATTATTAATTGTATTGCTCATTTTGCACAAACATTAATTCAATCAAAAAGACATTCAGTAATAAACAATAATGAATCCTTTATACATAAGAAATAGCGCTGTTTACGATTGAGCGTTGGTGAGCCCGCCATCAACATTTTTTTTTTTTTGTGCGCATTCCAATAAAAAACGTTGAATTAAAAACTTGCGAAATTTGAGAAGCTACTGTACGACATTTAACCCTTCAATATGTCTTCAAAGAGACCATGAAGCAAAGAAAGTGCTGCTAGTGCTTCAGAGTGGAAGCACAAGTCACTATCTATCCAGGAAAACGGTGAATATCCATGGTCCTGAAATTTTCATGGTCCGGCACCGGTCAGGTCCCAAGGTTGCCGGACTAGAGAGGTACAACCTGTAGTTCACATTAGACATACAAACTTTAGTTCTAATTAATTTTATTACAAAGGGCTAAAATTTTTATATCTTCTACAAAATATATAGCGTTTATATTCAAATTATTCACTGTCTTGCAAGGTTGTCTAGCAATGCAAATAATATTTTGCTAACTTTAGTCTGTGATATTATACAGTCTCTCCTCGACTCACGACGGGTTCCGTCCGGCGATGACCAGGTCATAAGTCGCGAAAAAGGAAAATAATATATATACAGAAATTCTAAATGAAATACAGTACAGTAAAAGTAATCATTAATGAAGAATGAATAGGCATGTGAACTTACTCTTTAATGTGAGGCCAATGAATGTGCACAGGGTCTCAATAATGTTTTTGATTACATGGAGACTACATTAATTGGATAAAGTGAGAGACAGGCTGTGGGACACCATGCCGCTTTTCAGAGATAGGTTTGCGTTGTGGAAACTTGCTGGTTAAAGGTATTGGATCATCTTTTAGAGTGAAGAGGCAGTAGTAGGGGGATTATGAGTCAGGCAGTGGGAGACTCTTAAAATATGTCCAATTTAGACTGCACAGTTTGGTTTCTTTTTTTCATTGTAAATCTCCCCTGAAGCAAGCAAGTGCATCTTGGATCAGTTCGTCAACTTTGCAAAACGCTCAACATTTTGATCCATTCCACAAACATTTGCATCCCCATATTGTGTGGTGCAAATGCCTCTGCCATTTGTTTCACTAAAAATCCTTGGGGGTGTGCAGGTTCTGCTACATTTGTCTCTCTTTCTTCCTCTGCAATTTTCAGCATCCAGTTCCAATAAGTTCTCAAGCATTTAGCTCTTTCTACAATTTTTCAACAACTGCTCAACATCTTCATTATCAATTTTAACCCAGATGTTTACCTATCTGCATCTATCTTGTTACTAATCTCATAAATTGCATCATCTTTATTAAATCCTTTTAAACTGTTCACATATTTTTCAGGACCTTTCTTCCATATCTCC